AAGCAAATTGAATCTTTAAACTATGAAGACTCCACAGCAGCTGGGAGGAAAACCGTTCAGCTCATACAGGCTCTTGTTGAGGTAATAATTATTACAAACCTGTCTGCTCATTTTGAAAATTATTAAATATATGCTTATGTTTTCAAGTCAATCATGTGTATCTATTGCATCATTAGTTCTGATTGAATGGCTTTATTTTCATACAAACTACATTAAGTGAAACGTATTATGCTCGAGGGAAGAAACACACTATAAAATGCAAATGGTTAGATGAGCAGATGAGATGACTGTCCATAAAGTAAGGGAACCGTGATGTCACAGCTTATAAAATTGGAAATAAAAGAGAATCCAGGAACATTGAATTTGATTAGATTGATATATATTACCCTGGAGTGCTTTGCATAATTGTCTTGTGATTTTGAACATGCTAAAACACAAGTTGGAATTGAATTAATGATAAGGCAGAGTCAAGTGTGTGATTTGGTTTATTTCAACAACATTTTTTTCCTGTTGTTTAGGTTCAAGAGTTTCATCAGCTGGAGTCTAACCTGCAGGTGTGTCAGTTTTTAGCCGACACCAGAAAATTTCTGCATCAAATGATCCGCACCATCAATATCAAGGAGGAGGTCCTCATTACAATGCAGATTGTTGGGGATCTGTCTTATGCTTGGCAGATAATTGACAGGTTGGTACCACTTCATATTCACATATTTATTACGTATTTGGTAAATATTTGGAGATTATTAGATTTGCAATGACGTGTTCTAACAGATTATTTGGAATTGTAATTTTAGCTTCACAGCAATTATGCAGGAGAGCATCAGAGCCAACCCGTCCATGGTTACAAAACTGAGAGCTACATTTCTTAAGGTATAATGAAGAATATAATCAAATACATAGTGTTCTGTTTCTTGGTAATTCACCTCTCATTACTTTGCCTTGTGTATAGCTTGCATCGGCGTTAGATCTTCCATTACTGCGCATCAACCAGGCCAACAGCGCTGACCTCCTGAGTGTCTCGCAGTTTTACTCTGGAGAGTTGGTGGCCTATGTCAGAAAGGTACTGGTCACGACCTATAACGTTGGCTTACAAAGGCTTTCTAACTGATTTGCCTTGTAATATTTTAAATCAATTAATAAAATGTGTTAATAATGGTAAAATGTCAAGATGATGAGCACGTCAGTGTATTTTCTAAAGAAGCTGTGATCGCTGCGAAGTGAAAGGATACTCATGAGATTAGTAAAGCCATCTGTTCGCTAAAAATCTGCAAATAGCTGCTTTATGGATGTGTGCAATAATATTGAAATACCTTCTGGTGTTATCTATCACTGCCAGAGAGACTTTAAGTTTGAGAAATCACTCTGTTTTTATGCCACCTGCCTTAGAAATCAAATTGTCTAAACCCCTTAAACATACAGTAGAGGTTTTCCCTCAGTGACATTTTGCTTCCTTCTTGTTTCCAGGTGCTGCAGATTATCCCAGAAAGTATGTTCACCTCCCTGGCTAAAATCATCAAGCTCCAAATTCATGACATCATGGAGGTGCCCACACGCCTTGATAAGGACAAGCTGAAGGACTATTCACAGCTTGGAGCTCGCTATGAAGTAGTTATTTCTTTTAATATTTATGCAGCTTTCATTTCACAGTGGACTGAAAATGATTTAAATGAAGGCAGAAATCTTAAGATATGAAGAAAAATCAAAGACTGAGTTGTAAGATGTGAAAGGCAGCGAATTATGTTTAGATGAGGCAAACATAACTGGTGCCACAGTGATTTCAGAAATAACATTTTGATGTGAAATACAAATTGAAAAGGGGAGCAAACTATTCGTGTTGACCTATTTGATATGTACACATTTTCTTTTCAAAATGAAATGTACTGAATATCTTTTCATTTTATGTGCTATGTTTAAATAATATGTGTCAAAGATTATTAGTAATGTTTAATATTGTTTTATGTAGGTGGCAAAACTCACCCATGACATATCCATTTTCACTGAGGGGATACTGATGATGAAAACCACTTTAGTTGGTATCATAAAGGTAAGTTTTTCAATCAATCACTTACTCTTAATTGACATACATTAAAGGTGCACTATGTAACTTCTAATGTGGAAGGTCTACTATTTGCTTGTTTCCGTGGAGGTGTTATTTATTTGCTGGGAATGTTCCACAGTAGGGCTTTAAATATACAGTATCTCCCTTGCATTTGGTCATTTACAGTTGTTTTGTAACAATTAAGGTAAAACAGTAATATTTCCATGGAGACAAGCAGGTGGTGGACCCATGACCAGAAAAGTTACCGTGTTTTGCTAACTTTTCAACTTTGTTTAGGTGGACCCTAAGCAACTTTTAGAAGATGGCATCAGGAAGGAGCTGGTGAAGAGAGTGGCTTATGCTCTGCACAAAGGATTGATTTTCAACCCCAAAGCAAAGGTTCCACATCATTTTAATCAATTTGTGCCACTGCCCTGTCCGCTTTTAAAACACATTCATCATCCTCCTAATCTTGCAGCCCAGTGAGTTGATGCCCAAGTTAAACGAAATGGCCGCAACTATGGATGGCTTTTACCGGTCGTTTGAATACATCCAGGACTATGTCAGCATATATGGGCTCAAAATTTGGCAAGAAGAGGTATCCCGTATCATCAATTACAATGTGGAACAGGAATGCAACAGCTTTCTCAGGACCAAGGTCAGACTTTGTACACTAACGCATGCTTTTAGTCTTCCTGGTCACACCTGAAAATAGTGCACTAACATTAGTCCATCGCTGTGTAATCAATAAGACATGCTCTGGTTGCTCCCCTGTTCATTTAACAGACATTGATAGATTCTTTCTCTCTACCATTCAGATACAAGACTGGCAGAGTGTGTATCAGTCCAGCCACATTCCCATCCCAACCTTCCCCTCTGTGGATGAGTCTGCCACTTTTATAGGTCGTCTCTGCAGAGAAATCCTCCGAATCACTGATCCTAAGTATGACAGATTTATCAAAATAAGATGCAGATTATCACTAAATGTTTACTGACCCATCTCCCAATTTCAAATACTTTTCTAGGATAACATGCTACATTGATCAGATGAACACCTGGTATGATCTGAGGAACCACCAGGAAGTGACCAACAACCGACTATTCTCAGAAATCCAAAACACACTTGGTACCTTTGGACTCAATGGGCTGGACCGCTTGCTCTGCTTTATGATTGTGAAAGAGTTGCAGGTGATTTTGATTGTATTGGTTGGCTAAATTTCTACATAAATTCCTATATAATTAACTTGCATATTTTCTCAATCAACAGAACTTCTTGATGTTACTTCAGAAAACTATACTCAAGGACAAAACTGTGGTGGATATATTTAGAGTGATGCTTGGGACTGTTAACCCAGTTCAGGGTATTGTTGGTACGTGCTTGTCTGTAAAAATTATAAATATATTAGATGTTTTCTGTTGTAATTATTCCTCTGCTGTAGGTAATGCCAGCAAGGTGTATGCCAGTGCAGTTGCCAAAACTCAGAAGATCTGGGGCCCATATCAGGAAGCCATTATGAAGGTAAACACCTTTAAAAAAAAAAAGCTGTTTTAAGAAGGACAGCTGCAGTTGGCACATATAGACTAGTTTGTAAATGATCCCATACAAACTATCGGAATGCTTTTTACAGGTTGGTCAGATGCAGATTCTCAGACAGCAGATTGCAAATGAGTTGAATTACTCATGCAAATTTGACTCGAAACACCTGGCTGCAGCTTTGGAAAACCTCAACAAGTCAGTGTATGATTCTCACCCCACACTAAATGCTTCATTGCATAGTTTAACATTTTGTCTTTGTTTCCTGTTCAATTTTCAGGTCACTACTAGCTGACATTGAAGCTCACTACCAGGATCCGTCTCTGCCCTATCCCAAAGAGGATAACACCTTGCTTTATGAAATTACGGCATATCTAGAGGGTGCTGGCATTCACAACCCACTCAACAAAGTACAGACACTGCACATATCTTATTCTCTTGAAATCAATCCTAAATTTATTGTCATCTTTTATTATTATTATTATTATTTTATTATTATTATTATTATTTTTTTTTTACAGATTTACATCACCACAAAGCGCCTCCCTTACTTCCCCATTATAAACTTCTTATTCATTATCAGTCAGCTGCCTAAACTTCAGTACAACAAAAACCAAGGTATGTTTTAGTTTGTCTAGTTTTATAATGCTGAATTGCCAAAATAGAATTTTAAAAGTTATGCTTCCGCTAAGGCATGACCTGCAGAAAAGCCACAGACCCTGTTGACTGGGTCCCCCTGGTTCTTGGGCTGCTGACCCTGCTCAAACAGTTTCACTCAAGATACACACAACAGTTCTTGGCTCTTATTGGCCAGTTTATCCGATCTATCATGGAGCAGTGCACAAGGTAACATTTTACTAATTTGAAATTAATCAGCTCAGCAAAAGCCTTTAAATATAAATGAATGAAGTTATTGATTTTTATTATAGTCAAAAGATTCCTGACATGCCATCGGATGTGGTGGGAGCACTGATGTTCTTAGAGGACTATGTCAAATATACAAAACTCTCTCGCAAGGCACATCAATTTTTTTCTTTAAAATAAAACATTGAATTTATTAGAGATAATTGTAATGAACTGTATATTTTTTCTCCCCAGGTGGCTGAAGCTCATGTGCCCAGTTTCATCTTTGATGAGTTTAGAACTATATTATGAATCTGTCATAATGTGATAGAAAAAAACTTAACATTAACATAAGATTTGCCAATAATTTTAGTCCTAACCAAACCATTTCATCCTGCTTTGCACTTACAAATGCATTCCTTTGCCATCATGTGCCAAAATGACTTACTATAGGCTCATTAAATATTGTATGTTAATAAAATCTTATAAAATGCTTTAAATGTTCATTATTATATTAACTGAAACTGCCTATAAAAAAATAAAGATCGTTTGAAACTTTATTTTGAAATATCAGCGTCACCGGAAGTGATACTTTTAGCTTTCGCGGGCAGATCGGGCTAATCACTTCGTTTGGTGCACGGATCGGTGTTGCTGTTTAGTGTTTAAAAGTGTTAATGAGTGTCCAGCGACCAAGTATCGGTAATATTATTTCATTTAGTTTCTACAATGTCTCTAAGTGCTGTTCACGGGACACTGTCAAGTCTGAAATCGTGTCAAAATGACATAAACACGGGGATGGATATTGTGACGGATGTGGCGATGGACTTGGCTGAAACTCAGGGTAAAACTAATCTAACACTACTAATAAAAACGCTTACCTCTCACACTAGTGTTAATTAATCAAACTGTGTTGCAGATAATGTAAACGGGAACAATAGCCTTAAGGAGCTGCAGGACGTGACGCTTGAGTGTGCCAAACTGGACAGAGACATAAACCACTTTGTAAACGTGGTGCAACAAGTTACGTCTGATGTGAGGGCACACATGGCATATTATTCACATCACACCACACCACACCACATACTTTGCTCTTTAATGTTAATCCTGATTCAGAATTTGTAACAGGTGACGTCCCAGCAGCCAGAGGCCATGTTTTCCCTCTCTGAAACTGTGAAGAGGCAATTTGAGTTGAATTTGTCCCAACTTTCAGATGCTGAACTGCATCATCATCCGAAGGTTCTTGCCTTCAAAGAGGGCATAAGAAACTGTCAAGACCAAGGTATTTTCTAAAGGAAGGGAAACATAATGAAATGTAACATGCACAATAAGCATAAACATATCTGGAGGTGATTGGTCACTGCCCCTGAGTCCTGACATGTTTCTGCAGCATCAAATGAAAGATAAAACTGGTCAACTGCAGAGGACACGTTTCTGTTTATTGTCAGTGGTAACACAAGTAATTTTGTAACTGGTTAATATGTTTATAATTAAGCGTGAATACAATTGTATTGCCTCATGTAAAATGATGTATGCATTTTAATGTTAGTAATACATTTCTAATGTGTCTCCAGCTGGACAAGAGACCGCGGGAAACCTACAGGAGCTTGATGAGGACATTGCTGTAACCCAAAGTCAAATGAACTTCACCTGTCCCCTCACAACGGCAGGCACTTTCTTCATATTGAATCATAATGTTGTACCCCAACCTGTTTTTCATTATTAAAACTTTATTTATAGGTTGAGATGGTCAATCCTGTTAAGAATAAGAAGTGTAATCACCACTATGATGAAGAGGCCATTGTCAACCTGATCAGAAACAGACATTCCCAAAGAAAAAAATGCCGGTAAGATGTACTGTAGTATATGTGCTGATGCTGGCCAAAAGAGGAAAAAAGGGTTATTGTAGGCTAGTTCAGAAGGTAGCTCTCCTATCTCCTATCAGACCGCAGAAAGGTAAATTGAGGTAGTAAGGTTCTGTGAGGTTCTGGGCTGATCTAGCTCATTTTGTACCCGACTGGGCACACCTGGCCAATCTTTGCTCAGCTAGAACTCTGCTTCCACGGCGGTAAGAGACCTCTGTACAGCAGTCCTGTGGCTCCTCTTCCCAACTCGAATGCCAGAGAGAAACACAGGAGGCTTCTGTCGCCCGCGGTGAGGAATGCAATTGGCTGAGACCACGCTGTGTGTGCGTAGTGTGGCACGTGTCTTGACGTATAGGTAAAATGTCAAAATATATATATTTTATGCAGTTTGCACATTTTATAGCCTGGGTTACAGTACATTTTTTCATTAAACTTCCAGGGAATTTATATAGTTCTGCTAATTACTAGAATTCATCTATTGCTGGTGTTACAATTTTTTTTTATTTTGTTAATTTAATTAGTTAGTATTGCAACAGTATCATTTTCTGAAAATAATAAATAAATGATATCTAATCTAATAATTTTTAAGACCATAAAAATCGAATTATAGGATAAAAAGTGCTACCCTGGTAAAGATTAATTATCTTTTAAATTGTCGCTTTGTGCAGGCCATTCAGTTGTGTTTTTAAATAGCTAGGGTTGTGGAAATAAATCTACACCCAGAAACTACTTTGACTGACAAGTATCACATAAATGGGACTATTACGAACTATATTTTTATAATATTGTATATAAAAGAGTATTAACTATCATGTGCTAAAAAAATTGGTCTTTCATAACAAGCTTCAAGCTGTGTTGTTAATTTCTGTGTCAAAGCCAAGATGTTTTTTTTGGTTTTTTTTTGAAGCGTCCAACTAGAGGCATTTGATGCAAATGTGACGCTGGGGTCTGAACGTCCATCCATCCATCCATTTTCGTCCGCTTACCCGGGGCCGGGTCGCGGGGGCAGCAGCCTAAGCAGGGACTCCCAGACTTCCTTCACCCCAGACACGTCCTCCAGCTCCTCCGGGGGGACCCCGAGGCGTTCCCAGGCCAGCCGAGAGACATAGTCCCTCCAGCGTGTTCTGGGTCTTCCCCGTGGCCTCCTCCCGGTGGGACATGCCCGGAACACCTCCCGAGGGAGGCGCCCAGGAGGCATCCGGAACAGATGCCCGAGCCACCTCAACTGGCTCCTCTCGATGTGGAGGAGCAGCGGCTCTACTCCGAGCTCCTCCCGTGTGACTGAGCTCCTCACCCTATCTCTAAGGGAGCGCCCAGCCACCCTACGGAGGAAACTCATTTCGAGCGCTTGTATCCGCGATCTCGTCCTTTCGGTCACTACCCAGAGCTCATGACCATAGGTGAGAGTAGGAACAACGACTGACCGGTAAATCGAGAGCTTCTCCTTTCGGCTCAGCTCCCTCTTCACCACAACGGTCCGATACAGCGACCGCATCACTGCCGAAGCTGCACCGATCCGCCTGTCAATCTCACGTTCCGTCCTTCCCTCACTCGTGAACAAGACCCCGAGATACTTGAACTCCTCCACTTGAGGCAAAGACTCCCCACCCACCCGGAGAGGGCAAGCCACCTTTTTCCGGTCGAGAACCATGGCCTCAGACTTAGAAGAGCTGATCCTCATCCCAGCCGCTTCACACTCGGCTGCAAACCGCCCCAGTGCACATTGCAGGTCCTGGTTCGATGAAGCCAACAGGACAACATCATCCGCAAACAGCAGAGATGAGATCCTGTGGTCCCCAAACCGGACCCCCTCCGGCCCCTGACTGCGCCTAGAAATTCTGTCCATAAATACAATGAACAGAACCGGTGACAAAGGGCAGCCCTGGCGGAGTCCAACATGCACCGGGAACAGGTCTGACTTACTGCCGGCAATGCGAACACAGCTCCTGCTCCGGTCATACAGGGACCGGACAGCCCTTAGCAAAGGGCCCCGGACCCCATACTCCCAGAGCACCCCCCACAGGACACCACGAGGGACACGGTCGAATGCCTTCTCCAAGTCCACAAAACACATGTGGACTGGTTGGGCAAACTCCCATGAACCCTCGAGCACCCGATGGAGAGTGTAGAGCTGGTCCAGTGTTCCACGGCCAGGACGAAAACCACACTGCTCTTCCTGGATCTGAGGTTCGACTATCGGCCGGATTCTCCTCTCCAGTACCCTGACATAGACCTTACCGGGAAGGCTGAGGAGTGTGATCCCCCTATAGTTGGAACACACCCTCCGGTCCCCCTTCTTATACAGAGGGACCACCACCCCGGTTTGCCAGTCCAGAGGTACTGTCCCCGACCGCCACGCAATGTTGAAGAGGCGTGTCAGCCAAGACAGCCCCACAACATCCAGAGACTTAAGGTACTCAGGACGGATCTCATCCAATCCCGGAGCCTTGCCACCAAGGAGCTTGCCAACCACCTCAGTGACTTCGGCCAGGGTGATGGATGAGTCCGCCTCCGAGTCCCCAGCCTCGGCCTCCTCCTCGGAAGACGTGACGGTGGGATTGAGGAGATCCTCAAAGTATTCCTTCCACCGCCGGACAACGTCCCCAGTCGAGGTCAGCAGCTCTCCCCCCGCAATGGAAACAGTGTTGGCGAAGAACTTCTTCCCCCTCCTGAGGCGGTTTGCCAGAATCTCTTTGAGGCCGTCCGATAGTCCTTCTCCATGGCCTCCCCGAACTCCTCCCAGCTCCGAGTTTTTGCCTCCGCAACCGCACGGGCTGCAGCACGCTTGGCCCGCCGGTACCCGTCAGCTGCTTCAGGAGTCCCCCGAGCCAGCAAGGCCCAGTAGGACTCCTTCTTCAGCTTGACAGGCATCCCTTACTTCCGGTGTTCACCACCGGGTTCGGGGATTGCCGCCGCGACAGGCACCACAGACCTTACGCCCACAGCTCCGAGCAGCCGCATTGACAATAGAGGCCGAGAATGAAGCCCACTCAGACTCCATATCTCCAGCCTCCCCCGGAATCCGGGAGAAGTCCTCCCGGAGGTGCGAGTTGAAAGTCCCTCTGACAGAGGGCTCCGCCAGACGTTCCCAACAGACCCTCACTACACGCTTGGGCCTGCCAGGTCTTTCCGGCTTCCTCCTCCACCAGCGAACCCAACTCACAACCAGGTGGTGATCAGTTGACAGCTCAGCCCCTCTCTTCACCCGAGTGTCCAAGACACGCGGCCGGAGGTCAGATGACACGACTACAAAGTCGATCATCGACCTCCGGCCTAGGGTGTCCTGGTGCCACGTGCACTTATGGACACCCTTGTGCTCGAACATGGTGTTTGTTATGGACAAACCGTGACTAGCACAGAAGTCCAATAACAGAACACCGCTCGGGTTCAGATCGGGGAGGCCGTTCCTCCCAATCACCCCTCTCCAAGTGTCACTGTCGTTGCCCACGTGGGCGTTGAAGTCCCCCAGGAGAACAACGGAGTCCCCGGTCGGTGCACTGTCTAGTACTCCTCCCAAGGACTCCAAGAAGGCCGGGTACTCAGCACTGCTGTTCGGCCCGTAGGCCGACACCACAGTGAGAGACCTGTCCCCGACCCGAAGGCGCAGGGACGCGACCCTCTCGTTCACCGGGGTGAACTCCAACACACGGCGGCGGCTGAGCTGTGGGGCAATGAGCAGGCCCACACCAGCCCGCCGCCGCTCCCCGCGGCCAACGCCAGAGAAATGGAGAGTCCAGCCCCTCTCAAGGAGTTGGGTTCCAGAGCCCAAACTGTGCGTGGAGGTGAGGCCGACTATATCTAGTCGGTAACGCTCAACCTCCCGCACAAGCTCAGGCTCCTTCCCCCCCAGCGAGGTGACATTCCATGTCCCCAGAGCTAGTCTCCATGTCCGGAGATCCGGTCGTCGAGGCCCCCGCCGTCGACTGCCGCCCAGATCTCTCTGCACCGGCCCCATATGGCTCCTCCCGCGGGTGGTGGGCCCACGTGAGGACGGCCCCACGTCGCTCCTTCGGGCTAAGCCCGGCCGGGCCCCGTGGGGGAAGGCCCGGCCACCAGGCGCTCGCTGACGAGCACCCACCCCAGGCCTGGCTCCAGGGTGAGGCCCCGGTGACGCCAATCCGGGCGACGTAACTGGCCTCTGTGTTGCACTCATCATAAGGGGCTTCTGAACCGTTCTTCGTCTGACCCGTCCCCCCGGACCTGTTTGCCTTGGGTGACCCTACCAGGGGCATGAAGCCCCCGACAACATAGCTCCCGGGATCATTCGGGCACTCAAACCCCTCCACCACGATAAGGTGACGGTTCAAGGAGGGGTCTGAACGTATCCAAATAAAATTTGGGTATCGTAGCAACACTAGCCACAAGTCAGACAGTTTAAAGAGGTTAGAAGTTAAACAGTTAAGGAAACTTGTGTTTTCTCCTAATAAGACAAATTGTAAAATAGCTAAATTGCTATTTTACCTTAACTTTAGCAACTAAGGGAATTCCTTCTGTAGCTGATGGTAGTGATCAAAGCCAACAGTATTTCAGTTGGTTATCTACATTAATTAATTTACATTTGTTTATCTCAAACCTGTAGGTGTCCTGTGGTGGGCTGTGCTAACTCAGATGTGAAAGAGTCAGACCTGGTTCCAGACCAAGTGCTCAGAAGAAGAATCCAGAACCAGAAGAGAAACAGCAACAAGATATAGTTCCCACTGGCACCACAATTCATTTTTGATAATTATTTAATAGTAACCTGATTCAGGGTGTACAGTTGTTAGTTTTAACATTTTAACATTTTGTTATTGTTATATTACATTTATGGAAATGTTGAATATAATTTAAAGGCATTCATAAATTCATAACACTGCAGTGTGTTAAAACAACCACAAGAGGGAGGCCTTACCATGGTGGCAGCACTTAACCTGGGCCCAACGACCCAAACATGTTCTGATGTAGACATTTTTCTGTTAATTAAATAAGGCTATTGCAGTACTCAACCATCTTTGAATCTGTTTTTTTTCTATATGGACCAGAAACTGAACCAAACCAGGCTGAGAAAAAGACTAAACACTTATTTGAGAGCATCTCCTGGAATGCACTTTGAGTGATTAAATCTCCCTTTCCTTCCTGCCCCTGCCTCTGTGAGAGGCCTTTGTTTGAAAAAGAAACAAACAAAAGCTGTGTTGAGATGAAACTAGGTGAAGCTAATCTTTTAATAACGGAGTATTAGGCATTTTTCACATGTCTTATTGCTCCTTTCCTCCAAAGACTGCATCACACCACTCTCCCTGAACGTATTAAGAGGCAACAAATGATGTATGCTGTGTTGACTTGATTGTTTCTTCACTCTACTACATTTTGAATTACCCTGCATCATTCTAACCTTATTTGCCATGCTTCATGTTACGTCGCAGGTAATTTATACATGATTTGTGAAAGCAAACACTCAAACAGAAGCAATGTTAGCTGCAAAGTAAGAAAAATGAAATGGTTTCCATACCTTCAACACCTTTGCTGTCCTTTGAAAGTCCAATCACAACATGATCATGGAGCTACATAAAAATCAAATATCATCTGATGTTTGTTTTTTGCTCAATGTTTGATCTATAATTCCCATTCATCTCACTGCCTTATGAAACCCTCCTAAAGTGGTGTCGTAGCTTCCTAAGACAGTAATTACAGTATCTGGCTTGTTCATGCTTGACTTATGGACACGTCTCTCTCCTAACACTCTGGTCTTAGCAGGCCAGTGCAGAGATGGCTGCAGAGCCCAGAGCCTGGCACTATGTACTAGGTCCAGGTGTCTTGCTTAAAGAGTTTGGCATCAACACATTTTGATTTCACTGTGAGGAGCGTAACTAGTTTCAGGGCCACACTGAGAACGTGAAGAGACTCGGTAGCTGTGCAAATGTGCCGTGTAATTCTACTTGCATAATTGCATAGATGTGGGATTAAATGTGATTGATGCTGTCTGTGAAATGTCCATGCAGAGTTTCTGTAGCACCAAATAGGGTGTGAATGTACACAAATACTGTTGATTACATTTGGCCCTGTGACTCTAATCACTGACTCATTTGTCTGCGTCTGTTTATGAAGTGTTTAGTTTAAATTATTAGGTGACTCTCTTCCACGCTTTAATATTTGGCATTCAACGCACATTCAGTACTTATGAAAAGTTTATCTGTATATTCCAAGCCAGTATTTTTAACAATTGTTTGAAGGATTGAATTACATCGACTTTTTATCATTAAAAGTGGGAAAAATATAAATTAAATAAAGTTTTGACTCAATATTTTAAGACTAATGCAGCATTTTATTACATTCATTAAAAGTGTGTGTGCAGACGCTGAACGCTAAAGATCGTTTTTAATGAAAACAAGCAAAACTGTATGCTATAGACTATAGACTGTTAATGAGGGAAAGGTGCACTGTCGCTTTAAGTGTCAACGCCTCCCCGCACTTATTCTGGCAGACGGAGTTTCGTTGCAACAAATACTGTGGTTCACACTACAGACAGCAGTATACAGAAGAGCAAACCACATCCTCCCAGCACACCACACGGGCTGAGGCACACCGGAAAAGCGCAGCTGACAGCCCGGTGTCCATTCCTGTTTATGTCCCGCATGTTTCCAGCAGTGAGAGAAGGAGCAACTCAAGTGGACCACCGGTGAGTCCTTTCTTTCTCTGTGCCAAATTGTGGATCTGAAATTTGCATGTGCCATAGGTGCTTTGTAGCCAAATGAGATTCTAAAGATGTTTGTAAATGGGATAACATGAGTTTCTCTGAAGCTGAGCCAACAGGTGTGTCAGGTCGCACCAGTTTGGAATACAAAGTAGTTCCACTTTGTTTGAGGCTGTCGTTTACTAACGAAGTATCTGTTTGTTTTCTTTCAGCTCGGTTCAAGTCGGAGCATTGGTTGGACATATGTTGTTGGATATGGATTATTGGCGTCCTTGCTGCCGCTTTGGATTTAGTTGATAGGTTCGTGCTGTCGTCCTGAAGTGAGCACAGAGAACAGGTGGATCCTGTTTCCCCTTGGCTCGCCGGCTGCGTAATCTACTTAAACCTTTATGGGGAACCAGGTGGAGAAACTCACTCATCTCAATTACGCCGAGGTGCCCACGTCGGACCCGAATGGCTTCGATCCGGACGATGATGGACCACGAATTGGCGTTTCCTATATTTTCTCTAACGATGATGACGATGACCAGGACGACCGTTTCGATAACTTCTCCACAGAGAGCGCCCGGGTAAACCACGAGGAGAAGCCGTTTGACCCGAGGGACGAACTGGAGTGCGCGGTCTTTTACAGAGACGATTGTTTGTATGAGAGGAAGAGCGGTGAAGCCACGTACTCCGCAGAGAGCCTGCTGAACAAGTGCAGAGCGGGGGACCTGTTGGAGTTTGTTGCTACCGGACAGTATCCGCACTGGGCCGTGTATGTGGGGGACTTCCAGGTGGTCCATCTGCATCGGGCTGAGATCAAGAACAGCTTTCTGACGGACGTGAGTCAGGGGAAACAGGGAAGGATAGTGAACGGATTATACCGGTACCGCGCGCTGCCACCTGAAGTCATCGTGCGTAACGCCATGAACCACGTGGGCTCCAGAGACGGAGAGCTGTACTGGAGGAACTCTGAGTGCTTTGCAGCTTGGTGCCGCTTTGGAAAGCGTGAGTTCAAGATTGGGGGTGAGATCAGGATAGGCAAGCAGCCATACAAGTTAAAGTTAATGTTTTCTGACAAAAAGAGCCACGTACTGGAGTTTCAGAGCCTAGAGGATGTGGTGATGGAGAAGAGGAGAAACGATCACATAGGCAGAGACTCTGTGATGCAGGAGCTTGCCAATCACTTGAACACCACACACGAAATTAAAGATGGCAGTTTTGGAGAGTGATTGGAGCTTCTCTGGTCATTACACACATCTCTCCAGCTTTTGGATCTGGCTCCTATGCCATCCTCTAATAATGACCAATGAGAAGCCTTGAGAGTCTGTAAACACAGCCCGTGCGTTTCGGTGTTTGCCTCAAAATGAGCCCCATGGGGTCAGTATCACAGTCTGCATTTTAAGTATAATGGTCAGTTCAACCAAAGCAGTAGCAATTGTGTTGCAATGGTAAATTTGGCATCTTAAAAATTAACTAATTTTAGTATATTTCATTCACAGCTACATGAAAATGTTTTTTTTCTTAATGTTTAACAGTTCAACCTTGATACTCGATTACTTAATTTTTGTCATAATAAAGGGACACTGTGTGAGTGATGGACCAAGAGTAAAACTGGGAGGTTAATATTATGAAAACTTTATGACTATATAAATGACTTGCATTTTGTACTTGTTCATCATAAGGTATTAAAATACTCTCCACAACTGTGATTTCCTCCTCTACCTGACTCCTGGACAACTTTGGCCTTTTAAGGGGTCTTTAGAGTTGTATTTTAACCTGATACATTTTTGCACAAGGAGCGTTCTTGTACAGTATTTGTGACTGCTGCTCCCAATGACTCAGGTGTGACTTATCCTTCAGAGTGACAGAGACCGTGTTTGTCATATGAACTTTTGCTTTACACACAGCTTTACCCACTCCACTTTAGTGTGGACACAGCTATGATGACTGCACTTTTATTAATGATTCGCCCAAATCAGCTGTTTATTTTTGGATAAAGATGTTTGTATGAAGAAATTTACAATAAATCTATATTTGGCCACTAAAAATGTTTTTGTCAATGTATTTTCGTTCTGCAATGTTCACATCTGTATATGTACTTTTTTTAAGTGCAGCCATTAACTATAACATGAAATAACATCATGAAACCTAATGGCTTCCTCACTGAGTGCCATATAATGTCCATCTTTAGTGATATTTGCAGAGAGATAATATAGTGTTTAATTTGCAGGCAGGACTACGCTCCCTTCTGCCTCGAGTATGGATCATCATAACTGAGACCAAACTGAAAAGCAGCCACATTAGCATTGCATAGCATAGACTGTATGAAAAAGTAATGCATATTAATGATAACCGGTCATATATTTTTGAAAGCCAACTAAACGCAGACAGCATTTGGGAAGCACAGAGGTTTGCCTGGCACAGTGGGAATGTTAAACAGTGTGGCTTTGGGCACCAGTTAAAAAAAGTCCTCATCAAGCACTACAGACCTCGTCTGGTCTAACAAGTCTAAGAACTATTCCGAGTCATTTCATTACTATGGTAACCACCACTGTCACTGCAAATGTCAATATTCAGTCCATAAATCCTGAAATGGATAGTTAATATTATTAGTTAGGAAACAATGTATCAAATTATATAACTCTCTCTCTCTCTAAATATAAATATATATGCATGAGCCATGGTGTTCATGAACATTACAAGCTCTACATTTCTTATTTGCTGACTTAACATGCTCCAAGGTAACGTTTTTCTCATGACACACAAAATTGAATTTTACATGTGCCCAAGAGCCTCTACTCTGTACAGCCATTATAAAGCTCAATAACACGTCCTTAATCTAAAATTCAACACACACTTCACTTTAACTGGGTGTAAATCCAGTGAGAGCGCTTATTTTGAGGCTCTGGCTTGTCCATTGGCCACTGCACCTGTGACACTTCATAAGAAGAGCTGGAAAAGGGCCAGTTTCCTTCAGGCTAAACTGGCAATGTTTTCAAAGTTAGGGATATGCCAGTTCAGAAAAGCTAACTCATTCTATGTTTATAAAATGTTAAAATGCAAAACTTTGGTGAGCCTCAGAGGATCTTATCTGTGAGGCCTATGGGAAAAAGGGTGGACTGGAGCTTGAGATTGATATCAGAGTGGGACAAACATTAGCCTGAAGATGAGGCAGTTTGGGAAGATGCCTACTCACTGGGCAATACTTCAAAGCTAATCATTAATCTGCAACTTAAATAGTGAAATGGTCCAATTACTGTTAAAAGTACTAGTACAGCTACAATTTAATCATACAGTTATGTAGGATTAATGCCCAAGATCTAAAGTACAACAAGTTATATAAGCAGGATTAATTCAATTCTATTACCACTTTTGCCATAAAGTTACAAGAACTATTAGATCTTGTATTCATTAATTTAAAACATGTTTCTGCCAATCAAAGTGAATTCATTAAAGGGCCCATATTACACTATTTTCTGAAATAATGTTTCCTCATCAAAAACTTACCTGGAGTAATTTTTTGTTTCACTGACACATGTTAAACCCACAAGCCCACTCTGTCCGACCTTGTGATATCATGTGGGAATACAGAAAGTGCTCCACTGTGTTTTTAAATACCATATACCTTTATTAGAATCATTTGGATAAATTCAGCTCTCATAATGCCAATCTTTACTAAACTAAAGGTAAAAGGTAGCTGTTAATTTGAAAACTACTGCTTCATAAGGTGGAACAGAGAGCTTTGGAGATGTAGACAGACTAATAATAAAGGTGTGAATGAAACAAAACACATCTCTAAGTATGTTTTTGATGAGGTAGCAACATCATAACATGGCTTAAAGCTCACACAAGTCATTTTTACCACACAGATTTTGACCTTTAATGAGGTAGGAATAACTAAATTCTACTTCCACTTTTACCATAAAGTTACAAGAAGTATCAGATTTTGTATTTGTTCAATTAAAACATCTTCAAAGTGAATTCATTAATGTGCTGATAACAATTTTCAGTTTTTGAGAGCACAAATCATAGTACTCTATACATTGAACCTTACCTCAAAAGTTTAGTTGTGTGAGTTGTGTTACTTACCCAAGACTTACCCCACTTCACTTGACTCAGTAACAAATGTCCCTGTAATGACAACATAAGGCAGTTGAGTTGGATTATACCAGCCTTTTATAAACGTGTTCAATGTTTCAATCACCAGTGGAGCATGCGTTTAAACACACCTTATATTTCCCTTCTAACATTAATTTGTCTTCACCTACACAATGTATCATCAAGAGACTGAAGATTGTGTTTTCCCTTTGTTCGTTCACCTGAATCATGTTAACAATTATGTGTGAGGTAGCTCATTTACTGTAATTTAAAACCCCTGGAAACTTTTAAATTACTTACACTTAATATTCAATACTTATAATTGGTCTGAGGCACAGCCAATAAACTTGAACTTTTACTTTGTGCACATCCAACTTTTTCTAGTTAATAATTGATACAGGACTTTACTCTTTGCTTTCTGTTGGAGACTGCTGCTGTGTACACTACCCAAGGTTCTGCCTGCTCTGTGTCTATGTCTGTGCATGGTTTTAACACGTATTTTAGTTTGAATGTCACCTATGCAGCTGGAAAAACAAGATTTACTTTGCTTTAACAAGACAAGAGTTTTGAATACACAGCATAAGTAAAATGCCACTAACATTAAAGAAGAAAAACTAAAGTAACAGAATAAGAACATAGATTTCATTGTTCAAATTTTGGAGATGCATTATTCTTAGGCCATTTGCTCAACTCATTGCTGCTGTCCATTCCTGCTTTAATGACACTGAGGGAAACAATTTGTTTTTCTACAATTTGTAAAATTTTACTTAAATTTAAATGTGCACTATGTGGCTTTTCTGATGGAACTACCATCTCTTGTTTCTTGGAGATGTTACGGCTTTGCCTAAAATGTTCCAAAGTATGACCTTGCGTTTACTTCTGATGTCACCTCTCCACAGATTGGACCTGTAACTTGGCATGATGGTGTGCTGGCTTGACTCATGGAGATAGATTCATTGCCATACTATGGAGTATTCTAGGTATACAAAATCTCCATGGAGACTAGCAGATGAGCCCTCCACATGAAAGTAACACAGAGTACCCTCACGATTCGATATGATGCACAATACATGGATCACAATATTATCATAATATGGCGATAAATGTTATTATCAATATATTACACATGGTACTCTGCACTATATTGCTGTTTTTTATGAACCAAATACATTTTACAAAAAGTACAGCTCCACTACAGCTCCTCCAAAACTCTGCAGCATGACTGCTGACAAGGACTAGGAAAAGAGAGCACATCACCCCAATACTGAAGTCTCTGCACTGGCTTCCTGTGAGCTTCAGGATAGATTTTAAAGTTCTTTTATTGGTTTATAAAGCTCTTAATGGTTTTAGTCCTATTTATTTATCTGATCTGCTTTTATCATATGAGCCTCTCGGACTCTCAGGTCCTCAGGTAGTCGTCTCTTAACTGTCCCAAGAGTTCAAACTAAAACTCACGGTGAGGCGTCTTTTAGCTTTTACGGCCCCCATTTGTGGAACAGTTGACCTGAGGATCTGAGGTCCGCTGCGAGTGTTCATACTTTTAAAAGTAAACTTAAAACATATCTTTTTAATTTAGCTTTTAACTGAAACTTTTACCTGTTTTAACTTAAACTATCATTATTATTGTTATTATTATGGTTGTTTTAAATAAAATTATCATTACTATTTTACTTAGTCTCCATCTGATCTTAGCTATACATTTTCATTTTTACTATAACGGGGGGAGGGGTTAATTAATGTATTGAAATTTTTCTGTTGCATGTGAAGCACTTTGTGCTACATTTCAAATGTATGAAAAGTGCTATGCAAATAAAGTTTGATTGATTGATTGATTTTAGCAACAACATTTCTTTGTTAAACCACAATGTGCAAAGTTAATATGAAATACATCTCGTGTAATCAACAGTCAATGTCAAGTGTATTGCATAAACAAGTTTCCTTCCAGTAAAGCCACAAAATTGTCTTGCAGTCACAAATAAAATTGCTAAAAGGTACCAAAAAGTACTCTTAACAATATAGCAATACAACAGCCCGCAATAATGATACTGTATCATCATATTTAGTATTTAGTGTCCACAGTAGAACAAAAGCAACAGGACAGAATACTACACCCACTTACATTGTTACATTATTATTTTATTTATCACTTTAAATAAAATTTGTATTTATTAGTGATCAAAATTCTGCACCTGCCCAAGTGTCCAGCAAACACATGAAGAGAAAGTGTGTGTCACAATATTTTTTGCCAAACTCGAAAAGGGCAAATGCCATGGTCGGGTCGGATGAAGTTCCAAGTCATTGTAGAAACTGCTCTGTAAAAAAGCATTGATTTGATGGCTTCATGGAGCGAGAGTGGGACTTCTCAGACGAGTGATGAGAGGCACTTTGGAGGAAGAATCAGGTCCTTTTCTTGTAGTGAAGTATTCATTGGACTGGAGTCTGTGACTATAGAAGACGCCAGACAAAGTGAGTTGCCTTCATGATAGCTGTAATAAACTAACCCTGTTTTCCTGGGCAATAACGCATAAATGAATTTGAAAGTATGAAAAGAAAGAGTTCTGACATATAAGCCAAAGTAGCTCAGATCACAGACATTGGTGCTGGG